CCTTGGACTTGTATCATCTAATAGTTTTCATTTCATTTGAAACCATCTCAAAAGTTTGACAATATCAACCTCAAATTTCAAGGGTAAACTACTAATACATCATAATAGTTGAACTTAATTTCTATTAAGTCCTATTAAAAGTTAGTCCTATTAAAAGTTAGTCCTAATAAAATCATCGCTAAAAATAATTTTCTATGATGATTTTTTGTATGCCACTAAAAATTGACAATTAGTTACCCTTTTTTTTGTTACGATTTTTATAAATTATCAATGAAACTTGCAATTAGTAAATTTTTCTGTGACGAATTTTTCAAATTGTTGCTTAAAGTTGAAAATTAATAACATTTTTTTGCAACTTTTTTTATACTGTCGCTAAATCTTATAATTAGCAACTTTTTGTGACAAATTTTTCAAATTGTCACTGAAGTTTAACAAATAGTGACGTTTTTTAATAGTATTTAATGAAAAATGCCGTTAATTATCATGTGGCCTATTAGATAATAAGTCTATCTATTAAGACGTACACGTAAGTCCCTCGAATTTCAAATAAAATAACAATTTAACAAAACATAATATAATACAACCCAACTGTTAAACTAAATTCATAAATAAATCAAATCAAATCAAAAAAACAAAATATTTAAATATAAATATATTTTACCAAATATATATATATCCACGCATAATGTCCAAATCCCTATGCCAACTAAGATTGCTCGCAGATCGAGTTGAGTCAGGTGGTCTCACATCCGCTATACATCTAAACTTAGGCAGATCCGTCTGCTTAGCGATGTAAATTGAAGGGGCCGTGCAGGTTGGCAAATCGATTTGACAATTTGGGCTTTATTGTTGTATGCTTTTTTTTTTGGAACTATTTTATATTAATTTTTTATTATGTGGGCTCTGTTTTAGTCTATAAAAAATTTATTCTTCATTTTTTATAATTAAAATAAATGTCAAACTTCCATATTTCAAAGTAGCTAATATGATTACTAAATAAAGAGTTTTTTTTAACATACAAAGCATAAAAAACATAATATCATTTTCTTAAGGGAGGTTGGTGGATTGGGTTGGGTCAAGTGGTTTCTCATCCGCCATACGTCCGAACATAGGTAGATTTGAAAATGTCCATCCGCATTTGTCCATCCATACTATCGAAACCGCTTAAAAGCGGATGGATTTGGTCGAGTCAGTCAATTTTGACAAATCGATTGGTTCTGTGAACACCCTTAATGCCAACATCAATCTATAACAAAAAAAGAAAATGATGTAGGATATCATGTGCTTGGAATGTGATAGTGGTGGAAAAATGTAGCCTATATCTAGAGGAGTCATAACTACTTTGTAACCAATTTTTAGATATTGAATATTGATTGATTGAGATATTTCTCTCCCTAAATTCTCTCTCATTCTTGATTGGGCTGATCATCATTTGGTATCAGAGCAAAGACTTTGATCCTATTATCTCATAATCTAAGTGGTTCCTTATCTAAATTCAACACCATGGAACTCACGCACCTGATTTGGAGCCTTCATCGTCGACTTCGCAGATTCAAGTCCTCTCAGTTGTGATTCATGTTCCGCTTTCGATTGATGCTGGAATTCGAAGCTCTCTCCTTGATTAAAGTTCTGGTTCGCAGCTAACCCTAGTCAACGAAGAACACAGTCGCGATTCAAAGTTCTGCGCAACTTCAGTTCAAAGGATATGGGTGATTTGAGTTCACAAGGGTAATCTGGGTCTTGATTCATTGCTGATTGAAGCTCGATCAATCAATTTTGCAGGTCACTCTTCGACTTCGAATTTGGATTTCAGTTCGAGATCACAACTTCTGACTTCATCTGCAACTCACATCAAACCAGTTTCGAATTTGGGTTTTGTTCTCTTGTGATGAAATCATACCTGGGCTACTCTTTGGAGTTGTTCTGGACTCGATTGACTGAAATCAACATGTTGGGTAAGTGACTCAACTTCTTCCTTTCCAGTGTCTTGCTTGAAATCAGTTTCAGTCACATAGAACACCATTCTGTTTTGTTCCTGAGTTGATGTTACTGCCTTTGATTCTTGAATTGGAATTCGATTGATATTTGTGAATACTTGGGTCTTGAATTGCAGTAACATTTTGCCTGTTGTTCACTGTGCCAAGCTTGTATTTTGTTATATTGTCTGTGATTTGCAGTTATTGTGAGTTGAACATTTGGGGATTTCAATGTCTAATCGTGGTCATGGTAAGGGTTATGCCCCGACTTTGGGTGATGATGCCAAGAATAATGGGGTTCCATGTCAAAGAGATGAAATGGTTAAGATGAGACGACAAATTGCCACTTTAACCGAGATAGTGCAACGTCTCCTACCTCCTATCAAAAGTAGTAATGGTTTTACGGAGCGTCAACTTGATGATTCCTTCAATGCTCCACATAGGCATAGAGCAGATTCACATGGGTTTGTTTCTACATGGAATGATACCATCAAGAATTTCGAGTTTCCCGAATTTCGTGGAAGCTACAATCCGGATGTGTACGAGGAATGGTTGAAGACAATTGAGAGTCATTTTGAGTGTTATGATGTGCCGGAAGCAAAGAAGGTGAAGTTGGTCTCCCAAAGCCTCAAAGGTAGTGCCTTTAATTGGTGGAAATAATTACAAGTTGGTAGGCAACGAAATGGCCAAGAGAAAATTAGAGTGGAGGAAGATATGAGAGGAGTTCAAGGAGCACTTCTTGCCTTCTAATCAAGTGCCATCTTTGCTGGTTGAGAAGCAACATAAGAAGGGTATTTCAAGTTCCGGACATCAATGCCAAAGCGGCTTTGCAACCGGACAACCATCCTATGACTATGTCCAAGTCGGTTGCTCAACTAGCGTTGGAGTGCAAGAGACTTTTGATGAGGGATATCAACATAAGATGCTCTTTAGTGGCAAGATGGTTGAACCAAGATATGATGAGGAATTCTATCTTTGGTGAAAAAGACATGGAGGAAAATTGTTGCCAAGAACAAGATTGTGGTCAAGCACTTTCCGTTTGTGACGAAAATTTCCCATCTTTGATCAAGACGAGGAACTAGACCATGATCAAGATTTTGCCATCTTTGATGACGATAGTGAGGCATTGGCTCATGAGGAAGTTGACGTTTGTGAATATGGAGAAGTTGATACTAGTGAGTATGAAGGAGTTCCAATTTTTGACAACTATGATGATGAAGACAACCTTCCTGTAGAGCGTAAAAGTGTACATGAGGATGAAGAACATGAGAATGAAATATTGCTTCCCATGAAGGAAGTGGTGTCAATCCAACCTTCTATCCCTATTCTATATTCTATGAAAATTATAATGGAGAGTCGTGACATTGAAATTACATGGTTGTCGAATGAATGTTGCTTCCAAGAAATGTCTCTTATGCTATCTTTAAAGCCATTTGTTCCACTTTGTGTTGGTGTGGATGAGTTTATTCTTGGGCCATGCGAGAACTATTATTTTGATGACATCTTGCTTCCAAAACGGCACACTATATGGGTGGCCTATGCACACCTCAACATGGCTTCGGTTGATGTGCATAAACAAGAACTCATTTTTATGAAAGGATATTTGCTAGGGTAATCTTGAATAAGGACTTGCAACCACTTAGTCACTTCCTTTGTTGCCGGGTTCTTCTTGCACCGACACCATTTCCTTTTATTGTAGATTTGTTTCCTTTGTGGAATTTGTTTGTGTTGAACAAGTTCTTTCGAGTGGGAGAGCATGATGTAGGATATCATGTGCTTGGCATGTGATAGTTAGTGGTGGAAAAATGGAGCCTATATCTACAGGAGTTATAACTACTTTGTAACCAACTTTTAGATATTGAATATTGATTGATTAAGATATTTCTCTCTAAATTCTCTCTCTCTTGATTGGGCTCCTCATCACAAAAAAAAAAAAAAAAAACATCAAAAAAAAAAAAAAAAAAAGTTAGAATTTATTGAGTAACATTTGCACATTATGTTAAATCATAAAAGAAAAATACATAAAAGTTGAATTTCATTAACTTTTCCACATTTTTCGCTCCAAATTCAAGAGGTGTGGGAATGCATTAGAGATTCATTATTCCACTATAGTGGTTTATTTAAGTAACGAATACAACCAAAAACAAAACACACAATGTGAGCCTCTAACCTCCATAAACAAGTTAAAAGGAAAGATCAAGACAAGACAATAAGTACGAACAAGTTAAATCAGTATGTATACAAACGTAGATGAATCATAAATGAAACTTTCAAATTTTTTATTCAAACTAAGCTATAGATCAAGACAATAATTGAAAACCAGGCATATCAAATTCATTTCCAAGAGATAATAGCTGAACAAAAATAATGGACACTATATTTATGCTATTCATTTAAATTTAACTTTAATGTCAAAACTAAAAATTCTTAAGTATCAAAATTAAATCAACAAGGTATAACAAGGATAAATACCTAGAGTGCTTGTTAGCTTATTAAAGCCAAGTTTGCCCCCAGATTTACAAACCAAGCTATGCAAAATATGATCAGGCATGGCTCATGATCATCTATCTGACAAGCCAATCTCAAGTGAGATTGTAACTAAGCCGATTAGAGCTGAGTTCAATTAATTGCATGTGTTTTTAACCATAATTGTTATTTCAAAGAAAAAGCATAATCAATAAAAGCTAATAAAGAGGAATATCTTTACAAACCAAGCTATGCAAAATATGATCAGGCATGGCTCATGATCATCTATCTGACAAGCCAATCTCAAGTGAGATTGTAACTAAGCCGATTAGAGCTGAGTTCAATTAATTGCATGTGTTTTTAACCATAATTGTTATTTCAAAAAAAAATCATAATCAATAAAAGCTAATAAAGAGGAATATCCTACAGGGGCAAAGAGGAAGAACAAAGAGAGAAAAAAGAAAACAGCAGTCAAATTTCCTGCATATAATTACTTGAAAAAAACATACGCATACATCTAATTGTTGTAATCAAATCATGGTTAAAGCAGATCAATACCTTAAAAACCTGGCTGACACTTAAGTCCCCAATCTTCACTGTACCAGCAGCAGTGACCAAGAGATTATCAGGCTTAATATCGCCATATTCTGCTGGAAAGAAACAAAAATCCATATAATGGTTTGTGACACAGAAGAGGCAAACACAGGCAAACTATAACTATAATTTGGGATAAACAAAGCACAAGACATAATAGAAAAGGGCATCATAATTTGGGTTAAAAATAATTTGGGTAAACTACCAATAGGTCCTAATAGTTGGACTTAATTCCCATCAAGTCCTATTGAAAATAAGTCCTTATAAAATCGTCGTCAAAAATAATTTTTTGAGATGATTTTTTGCATGTTGCTAAAATTTGACAATTAGCGATTTTTTTTTGTCACGGTTTTTATAAATTGTCGCTAGAAATTACAATTAGTGACCTTTTTCTGCGACAAATTTTTCAAACTGTCTCTGAAAATTGAAAATTAGTGATATTTTCTGGTGACAATTTTTTTAAACAGTCGCTAAACCTTATAATTAGTGACATTTGTGTGACAATTTTCAAACTGGCGCTAAAAATTAACAATTAGTGATACTTTTTAATAGTATTTGATGAAAAACGTCATTAATTGTCATAGGACCTATTGGACAATAAACCCACCTATTAGGACCTACACATAAGTCCCCCTAATAATTATTGCCAAAGAAGACTGTAATAATAACCCAATCCTAAACAAGCAGCAATCCACAATACCCAAATCCAGAATCATGATAAAAACAACCATCCCCAATCAAAGTAGCAACAACCTAAAACAAAATATCAGCAGCAACGACATGCTGATTGTTTTGCTTGAACAAACAAATATGAGAGAATGATTGCAAATGTATTTGAGAGGGCATGACATTACAGTCTTTTTTTCATTAAATGTGTTGATATTGATTTTCTTATCATTTTCCTATAATTTTTCCTCAGCACCCACAATATGTCAACAATTGGTGCATCCAATATATCAATGAATTGACAATGTGTGTTCGCAATAAAACAAGTCATTCCTGATTGGTAACTACAAACCTTAAATCAAATTACCTAACTCAAGAAGATCATTATCAATGGACATCAAGCATACATAAGCAGCAAATAAGAAAATTTTCAAAAATATTTTACTCACATGCCCCTAAGACGGAACATATAATGCAATTAAAGAAGGGGTAAATGAATTAAGCAATTTAAAACTATTAGAAAAACTTTTTCCTAATCAGCTGGAATAACAAGATAATCAGACCAAAGCAATGGCCGCCCTAGTGGTAAGGGAGTTTACTCCTCTCCTTGCTGCCAAGGTTTGCATTAAATGTGTTGATTTTGATTTTCTTATCATTTTCCTATAATTTTTCCTCAGCACCCACAATATGTCAACAATTGGTGCATCCAATATATCAATGAATTGACAATGTGTGTTCGCAATAAAACAAGTCATTCCTGATTGGTAACTACAAACCTTAAATCAAATTACCTAACTCAAGAAGATCATTATCAATGGACATCAAGCATACATAAGCAGCAAATAAGAAAATTTTCAAAAATATTTTACTCACATGCCCCTAAGACAGAACATATAATGCAATTAAAGAAGGGGGAAACGAATTAAGCAATTTAAAACTATTAGAAAAACTTTTTCCTAATCAGCTGGAATAACAAGATAATCAGACCACCGCAATGGCCGCCCTAGTGGTAAAGGAGTTTACTCCTCTCCTTGCTGCCAAGGTTTGAATCCCCGTTACATTCAAGTGGAAGCCGGGGTTTTAAGGTGGACCCGCTAGCTTTTCCCAGTTTGCTTTGGCCCACATCAGTCATAATGGCGCGTGTGGGGTAGGTCTGGGCATAAAAAAAAAAAGAACAAGATAATCAGATTCACAACTAACATACAAACCTCTGTATGTTCCAGTTATGTTCCAAGTAGTAAATGGGCCAAAATCATTCTCATTTTTTCTAATTGAAAGCCATTGAAAGAGACGACGACAAGAAAAATAAAATGAACAATCTCAAATTCAATCAAACTTAACTGCATTATAAAACCGCATGTTAGTAATAATAAAGTCAAATAGCTAAATTTTCAAATGCAAGGCATGCCACAAAAGTCAAACAATATCAATATTCATTAACAATGCAAATATTGCTTCATATCTACAACCTCTCAAAATCTTTTTCTTTCATCAACTAAGGGCCAATTAATTCTTATGTGTCACCAAACTTATATTTCCCGTTCTTAATCCTGTCAACTTCCAACATAAATCTCTTCTCACAAGAGTTGTCATAGCTACCTCTAGACATGATCAAACCGTCTCAATTTTCAGATGCACACAATATAGCCTAGTTCCTAGTCTAGTAATTTCATTATTCAATGTCAACCTTATTACCGTGGATATGTTAATTAAAAAATAAAAACATATTTTGCAGTCATTAGCATTATGCTCAATGAAAAACAAAAACTTTTAGGTTCGAGACGATTACTACAAGAAACTATTTTGCATACATATAAATCATCAAAAGGTGATTTGTAATTTCATGATGACTGTGTAGTAAATAGATATACGCTTGTAGCACATAAATACTTACTTCCCCAAGAGTCTCCCTTGAAAGATTACCAAAGCACTAGGTATCACGCCTCTTCCCCTGCAGTAAGACAAATAAATTCTATTTGAACACAATGGATACATAAATAAAGCTATATATGTAGAGTGAAAAAGAGGGCCACACAAAAGACAAGAAGTTGGAGAAATAGCATGGAACAGATGATTTGAGGCAATCATAATCAGGTAAGAGCAAATTAAAACAAATGAAGGCCAATTGAGACATATCCAAATCAACTTCTAGCATAAGTCTTCTCTCCAAGTTATTGGTTGTTAATTCAGTTTATTGTATGCTTTCCAATGTTTCAGAGACAAGAATATACTGGTTATTTCCAAATTTCCTTAACATAGGGCTTAATGGTGGTTCATGAAATCTATTCTAGGTTGTGTTATTGAATCTTTACATATAAGATTTTAGTAAGCTTGCGTAGGGTTTGACAATTAAAAATTAATAATTCCAACCTGCAATCATAGTGCTGGTAGAGAGGTAGGAGACGCCTAGCAACTTATATATACCTGTAAGCCCTTTCAATTTCATAAAGATTAAAAATCATAATGGGCTAATGAAAATTAAATAGTTCTTAAAATGATTCAATGACACAACCTTAGCACACTTCATAGATGAGATAAGTGGAAGATATGTAGACTAGGGCTCATTTCACTTTAAATCACTCCCAACAATCAAATACGGAACGCATCGGGGCAACTGGGCGGATATTAATTCCCAATCCCCATTCCCCTATTATAATTCTTCCACATTTCCCAATTACAAGGGTTTAACATCTAACAACAAAACAAATACAAAACCCATCAGTTCACTGAAAAATGTTCAACCACTACATAAAACAGAGGTATGCAAGCATACATATATGACTAATCGTACTCTGTCCCTTTCAAGAACGAAAATTAACAAGTGGGTTCATCAAGAATCGGGGTTGATCCTGGCCACAGACCGAATCCGACCATATTAGAGAGAGAGAGAAACGAGAGAACAATAGAGAACGAGAGAGAGAAACTCACCACGCCGGAGAACCACCGCGTCGATGGAGATCGCCGCTGCTAGAACCGTCCCAAATCGCCGATTCTTGATGAACCAAATTGTTTGACAACGAGGTTGTCTTTGGTAGTTTATTGGGCCTACTCGTGATATTTTTTTTTTTTTAAAAGTAATCTTGAGGGACCCCAATGTTTACCAACTTCTTACTTAGGAAACGGACTTAGGAAACGGTAGTGATTTAAATCCCTCAAACTTCAACTCCATCATCTCATGCATACGTGGTGAGTGGTGATTAGAGAAGAAGAAAAAAAAAAAAAGTGACCAATTAAAAAAGAAAAAGAGTCAAAGGGGTAGAGAAAAAGGAGGTCTCAATCTTTATTTTATTAAAAAAATTAAAAAATAATAAAGTTATTATTCTATTTAAGTTATATTATTTTATTTAAGTCATTTTGTTTCTCTATTATATCATTTTAAATTTAATCTATATTTTATAAAAATTTAAAAATTACACTTATTTAGAATATCTCAAACCACTCTTAAATGTTTCACTAATTTTCTTTTCAATGTATACATAAACAAAGAGTTTCTGAGAAAATTATTATCCATATATTGCGAAGGTTAATTTTGACAATATTCATAATGATAGAGGTTAGAGCCACCCCAACTAGTAGAGATGTGAAAGCAGACAAAAAAAAGAAAGTATAATGATGATATTACCCATCAATGATAAAACTGTATATGAGTTAATGAACATTACTATTCATATGACTATTTGAAATAAATATTTTTATTTTTTACAAAAAGACATGAAATAAAATAAGATAAATAATAAGAAGGGGATAAAAAGACGGAAATGACCTTATAGCCGTGCATAGTACCTGTGATGCGTCAGACTTGATGCTTCCTGCAAGAGTGATATGTCACATAAGGCGAAAAGTATTATTTTAAATTTCCTTTGGAGAATACACTTGGACTATACAGCATATAAAAATATATTTGTGTGATGTAATATTATTTAAATAATATTAATACAATATATTTAAAAATGAAGCAATCATGTCACAACGGTCAAATTGTATTTCCTTCGGAGAACTGTAATACAGCATATATTTAAAATTGTAAGCAATATATTTGTGTGATGTAATATTATGTAAATAATATTTGCATAATATACTTAAAAATTTCATAAATATGAGATATGGTTTGTACTTTTGTGTGATGTACTAATATTTTTTAATGAAACATCACATTTTATGTTGAAAATCAAATTTTTTTAAAAATCTAAAAATCCAACAAACTATATAGAGAAGTCCTGTAATTCTCTTTTGATCTACTTTTTGTAGAGCTTTTCAAAAAAAATTACAGCAAGGCAGCGAAACATACTAATTTTTTTTACTTTATAATTTAGTCCAAAAATCAAAAATTTAGTAAAATAGTATAATCCCAAATGATTAGTCATATGGATTGTAATTTATGTGGTATAATTGTGAATAGTACAAAAATTCTGATAAAATAGGAAAATAATTTTTACAAGTCTCTATTCCATAGTCATGAACAAATCATAGCCAAACTCTGTACAAAACTTGAGTATTTAATTGTTTTTATTTGGGGAAATTTTTGTTTCAGGAAATCATAACTAACCTAAAATTTATGAGTTGACGAAAGCCCTTACATAATTGGTAAGCAACTTGAAATCATAACCAACCTAAAGAATAAAGATTTGGACTCTCTTTCTCCCACCCCCTTTTGACCCCTTTTCTTTTTTGATTGGTCATTTTTTCTTTTTCTTTTTCTTTTTTTTCTCCTCCTCCAATCACCACCCACCACGTGTGTGTGTGGGTTGAATTTTGAGAGGGTCTAAATCACTGCTGCCAACCTAAAATCATAACCAAGTCTCTATTCCATAATTGTACAAAAACAGTGACATACATGCTCGTACATAATTGGTAAGCAATATACACAAATAGTCCTCTCCAATTAATTTGAACACAACACAGTGACGACATGTGTTAGAAATTAGGCACCCATGTGGCATGACCCTTCGAATCTTTTGAATCTGAACCTTTTGAACCTTATCCATGTAAGTTTGAATTTTAATTCAAAACTTATTTGGATAACCATTCAGGATATCTATATCTATCATATCAATAGATATGGATAGATAGATAGATATTGGTGGTTATATATCTGACTATATATTTTAGATAATATATTGATATATCAGATACGTATATCAGATACGTTATTGATTTTTACCCATAACCTTTTTTGCCAGACTCTTTCTTTGACTCTCTCCCATTAAACAACGATCAAGCCATTTTGCACTGTAACTTGTGTGGGTGATACTCATTTTGTAGTATCACTCCACTGCTGGGTTCGTTGTTCAGATTCTGGAAGCACATGATTTACCCGCGAGATTCTATCACCTAAAGGTATGATCTAAATGTTTTTCTCGCTGCGTTATAATACTATGATTTACATTGGTATCAGAGCCAATATGGGTATTTTCGTGCTTATTTTTATGCATTAAAATATGTGTATATTTTAATAAAAATATATATACATGATATATGCATGAATATTAATAAAGGAGGAAGATGTCCACTCTCATTAGATGAAGAGCATAAAATACCTCTTTTTTATGTTCATTAAATGTCATTTTTAATGCCATAAATGTATTTATTTTGAAAAATGGAGTCCGACAATACCAAAATCGAACCAGAAAACACCCTGGAAAGCTGCGCGTGAGCCGCACGCACCTGGTGACGCCGTTAACGGCGGCCATGCGCTACCACGCGCGCCACGCGCTAGTCGCGCTTACCACGCGCTGCCACGGGCACGGTGTGCGCGCCCTTCCACACACGCACATTAAACCGCGCCACTTCGAGCCGCGCCACGTGCGCAGCAACACGCGCGCCATGCGCCTTACCGCGTTGAGCCACCTCACGCCGTGCACTGAGCCGCTCGAAGAGCCGCGTGCTGGGCCGCCTTCTAAACCGCGCGATGAGCTGCGCTGTTTTTCCTCTGCGGCTTGGCTGGCTTGGCTGCTGCTACTAAGGCGCTGTTTGTTTTGTTTTAAATTCTGAATCGCGTTAAATGGTCTTAGTTAATTCGTTATAGCTTTGTTTTAAGCGTGGTTGGTACCGTTGGACTCAGAATTAAATTTTCTATCTTTTGTAAAATTTTCAAAATTTTATGAAAACAAAAAATATTTTTCCTGAAATAATAATTCATTATTTCTGCTTTAAAATGCATCTGGTGATGCATGATTAAGTTTCTGGGGCTGAATTTTTTATTGTAGACTACTGTTATGGTCTACTATTCACTGGTATAATTGTTGCATTTTTCTAGATTCTAGAATATTTATTTATGATTTCATGTGTGTTTATTAATTATTTAAAATTCCAGAAAATACTTGAAAATTCCAGAAAAATTTCAAAAGTGATATACTTTCTGTTATGGCATAATCTGAATATTAAATACAGCATATTGTTGTTTTTTTACCTAGAGTTTCTAATATGTTGTAATTAGAATAGCATGATTAATTGTTATTTGTTTAAATTCTATTATTAATTGTGACATAGCGTAAGTTGGTTGTGAATCTGCATTATGATGCTATTGTATGGAATTAAAATTTTTTATCATACTTTTAGACATGCCATAGTCAGTGAGAGGTTATTCGGTTGAGAGAAATCTTTATAGATTTACTCCCGAAAATCAATATTTTGCGCATAAATTAAATTAAATTTTGGATAATTGTCACATGTGGCGTAAGAGATGATTATAAACATAGCGGATTTTCGATCTTGCAACTTGTGTAATATTGTCACTATTTAATTTAGATTTTTGTGGCAAAATTATACTATGCTAATCAGATTAATCCCAATGCGAATTTCTCTCTAAATTGACTTAGCTTATGGAAGTTAATTGGTTGACCTAGACTTAGGCCTCGTTTGGGATGCTACCTTTTTAGCCAATTAGCCAAAAAGTTACTAAATTAGCCAATTAGCCAATTAGTCATACCAAAAAGTCAACAATTACGGTTTCTCTCTACTTTTTGCACAGCTTTTCGTAATTAGTCAAAAAGTCATTCCAAACATACAAGTTTTTTTTACCTACCTTTTTAGCCAATTAGCCAAAAAGTTACTAAATTAGCCTGTTCCCAAACGAGGCCTTAGTAGAGATGTTCAAATGTGAACAATGTAATCCTATTCTTTAGATGAGCAAAAGTCTTGGAGACTTTAGGTCAGACCTTAATTGAGTCAAAGTAAGGAAACATGACTCAAAGTCGTCGTGGTTTTGTTGCCTTGTTTGGCACAATAAAAAATAATGTGTGCGCTATAGTTAGCGGCACGCTACGTAGTTTTGGTTGGCGAGTTTTGGAGTTATGAAATTAGTAAGCTCTCAATAGATCTGTAAATGATTTTGACTATTAAGCTGCGCAGATTGACTTTGTATTTTGACTTGTAATGATGTTGCATCATTGGATGAAGTAACATTCAAGAGTCACGTCATCCAAAAAATGCGAGCTTAAATGAATTAGTCATTAAGTGTAAGATGATTAGCCAGTATAAGCAGTGTTTTGCTCTCTATCCAACTATTGGGAGTGAATGGAGCAAAATTTCATACACTATAATAGTGTGCATTGAAGTATCACTTGAAGTTAAAAGATTTGCTCTTAGTAGCAGGAAAAATTATTAACACTAAGTGAAGAGATTAGCGCCAAGTGGCTGCAAAATCTATTAGCATCGCCAACTTGTCTAAGTCTGGACACTTACTGTTTCCACACTTGAGTGTGAGACATGAGGAGGGGCTTCTTTGTATGATTCCTTAGCGAGGCTAACGTTTTTGAATAATGTTTACCACTAAGCACAAACATTGCAGCATAGTAATGAAAAGGTCAAGGCCGACAAGGTTGTTATGACTCTAAGAATTTGACGCATGGCTCGTGAGAGCATTGTGTTAAATTAAACTCTTTAGCCTAATTCACGCTTAAGTTACTTCAGGAGCTGTCATAGTTGATAGCTTATTCTCTCCTTCTTGTGGATAGTAGAATTAATTGCAAGTAACTATGAAGCGAGAAATAGAGATGGCAAGAGGAGTATCGTCATCTTTCAATTAGATGCAGTAAAGTGTATGGAGAATAAAATTAACTTGAAAGTGCAGGGGATTAGCACTTACTAGTTAAAT